CCGCGTAAAAATGGAAAACATTGCCCATATATTGGCCATATATTGGCCATATACATTTGCGATATATTACCGAATCAATCGCCAATATATCGCAAATATATTGCATCTATAGATGCAAATGGACATCGGCCAATATATTGCTCATACATAGCCAATATATTGCAATATTCAAATTTAAAAAAACGGAATGTCAACATATTTTTTTTCTATTACAACGAATTATAATTCATCAATAAATTAATTAAAAATCAAATAAATTGACATTTTTCGTACTCAGAAATATTTTTATTTTTTATTTAAAAAAATGAGTCTAACGTCTAATTAACTATAAGTAGTTAAATGAAGTATAATATAGTAGTTAAAACATATCTATCTTCTAGGGTTACGGAGCGACGCAATCATCATATTAATGACGTTCGTAAACTCCACTACTTTAAAAGTATAACTGCATCTCCTGTTGACGTAATCTAGAAAGACGAGTCAAATCAATTTCAATTTCATTCACTTTTTAGAAAAGTAGCTATTACTTACATTCGACAGCTGCCATTATATCCTCAGGAACTCCATCATTCCTATTGGATCTTCCTCTTGCACACATGCCAATTAAATTGTGCTCTCCGACTAGAATTTTGAGTAGGTGTCGAGTCATATGTCTTGGTGAATCAATCCAACGATTCATGTAAGTCACATCTGCTTGGTTGATCCACACATTATAGCACCTGCATAGTTGAACTTTTCCATTGCCAGCTCGGCGACATTCATCCAACGGATCTACGTCTACAGGTCTCTGAAAAAAATTAAATCATTTATTTGACATTCTTATGAATATAAATAAAGTTGGAAATTGAATAATATATATCGGCGTTCCCCACGAAAAATAGTACTTTTATTTATTAATTTGAATGAAAACTTCCTACTGTTCGTGGCGAGCGTCGATGAATACATATAGATCAATCGACCATTATAAATAATATTTAGTGTTACCGGATTTAAAGCAGCTGCTATATCGACTGGCCCTTTATTTCTGTTCCTCGGACGGGGCAATTCTCTCCCGGCATGATTCCTTCTCTCGCGTACTCTTTGAATCGGATTAACTCTCTCTTGTTCTCTCTCACGACGTCTGTTAGCTTGATTATTTCTCTCTCGTTCTCTGTCATGGGCAGCAGCATACTACAAAAATAATTTGTAATGTTTATTAATCAATTAAAAACTTGAATTTTATTTCCTGTACCTGTCTCTCATTATTCTCGTGATAGTCATCACCCAAAAAATCATCATCGTCGTCACTCCGAAATTCTTGTTCGCTCTCCTCGCGTTCTCGTTCGCGTTCTCTCTCCTCGCGTTCTCTTTCCTCGCGTTCTCTTTCCTCGCGTTCTCTTTCCTCGCGTTCTCTTTCCTTGCGTTCTCGTTCACGTTCTCGCTCGCGTTCTCTCTCCTTGCGTTCTCGTTCGCGTCGACTCTCCTCGCGTTCTCGCTCACGTTCTCTCTTATAAGGCACAGATTTCTATAAATAAAAAAATTAATCGTAATTTTGAATAAAAAAGATGCCTTTTTTATATCAGATTCTCATCTTCCTCTTTGTCGCTGTCACTCTGAATTTCGCTCAAATTGTCGTCCTGGAATTCGCTTTCGCTGCTTGTAATGGCTAGTTTGAGTGATTTTTTTGGAACCTTTCTGCCTTCTTCACTGTCACTGCTGTCCGAGTGCTCTCTTTTGCTTTTTTGTAAACTGTTTTTGTGTTTGAGATCGCGTGCTTTTTCGGTATCACTCTGTAAATTATAGAAAAATTACTCAATCAGGAATTTAAACAATTTTCTCGCGCGTCGTGTTCTCTTACCTTATCATTCAATGCACTTTCATGTCTCGTTCTCTTACAGGCAGTTGATTTTCCTTCAGGTGACAATTCTAAATCTTTGAAAGTCTTTTTGCTGGTTGAAGGTTGATCAAAGATGCTGGGTATTTTTCCAACCTTTTCGTTCAAGGATCTTGCAACTTCCTCTTTCTTTTTTTCATTATATTTTTTTTTCAAAAGCTCGAACGAATTTTTTTTAGCACGAGCTTGCGTTTTCTTCGCCATTATCTTTCCTTCCGTGTCAACCGTGACCTTACTCAAATATTCTTTATCGTCTTTAAAAAAAGTAAATTAATTAGTAAAGTAAATAAAAATTTCAGATGCAATAAAATAACAACAAATTATGATTTTAAAAACGAATATTATTATAAATAATTGCATATTTTATGATTTTTACTTACAACTTTTCAGCACGACTTTTGCCTTGTATTTTTTTCCATCTTTATATTCGGCAATCGTTAAATTTCCCTCTTCTACATCTGCATGCAAGTTTTTTACTTCTATAATGCTAGTTGTTTTATTAGCCGTCCAAAAAACTAATGCAAACATTTTGATCGATGCAAAAGAAAAAATTTTACACGTTACTAAAAGTATCGCATAACCAATACCGATCAGTGCTGAATTTAGTCACGTATGAAGTTGGGCTTGAAACGATCGATAGTAAATAATCCTAGCGTTAATTAATCTCTCCGCAATTAATTAAGGTTACTTAAAAGTAAGAAAAATGCGCAGGCGACCGACCTCTCCATTTCGAAGATTATTGCATAAAATTGAAAAAACGCGCAAAAGGGATTTTTGGAAAAAAATTTACGGAACTTGATGGAGAAAAAGGTCTCGAAGGAGAAACCGGCTTTGAGGGAGAAAGAGGTTTTGAAGCACAAGATTTTGAGATCGGCGAAAAGGAAGTCCATGCATCCACCATCGATGAATACTCTTCGCCTCTTAATCCACTGACGTCAAAATCAAACCTGCATGACGAGAGAGACAATTTTCTTCCGTATTACAGTTCGGGTATTTTCATTTGCTAGCATTAATTTAGAACTTATGATAAACGGCCCGAGATACACTTCTTGGCATTTAGTACAAATTCAGCTACCATAGTATATCAAGTATACCTATAGTTGCACGGTATGCGCGCGAGTACACTATGAGATCAGAGAGTTGTGGCGCTTAGTTTTTCACGCTTTACGATTTTGAAAAATATTTTTATGTTGAATTCTCGAAATCCTAATTCTAAATAACTTAGTCAGTATTTATTTGATCTGCATAAGTGAATATACGCAAAAAATAATTGCAACGATCATTTTGTGTGAAAACTCACTTAAAAATGTTTTATATTTTTATTTTTATGAAGAATTCTAAAAATTTCAAATCTACCATTACATAGGAGAGATCAATCAAGAAGAGGAATTTTTCTATGCGAGCGATGACGATTATTTTGACGACGACGATTATTTTGACAACGAAGATGTTGATGACAATTTCACGAGCCTAGATCCTCCTTCTTCTTTGCAAGATGATCTTTACGACGGAGCTGGTGTTACTGTTCGCGAGTTTATATTAAACATAGGTACATTGAAAACAAGCACACGTCAAACTGATACGCAAATTGCTGCTACGTTGAAATTGTTTCAATTAACTCTGCCAAAACCTAATAAGTGTCCGTCAAGCTTATATAAATTTAAAAAATCCTTTCGTGACATCGATAAACCAATTTTAAAAAAACATATGTACTGTTCGAATTGTAATGTGTTAGTGTCGACTTCAAATCGTACTTCAGGTAGTGATGAACAAGTGTCGGGTGATGAACATTCAACAGAACATATCGGTGCGTGCGATTGTAATGAAGACTTGAATTATTTTCTTGAGATCCCCTTGTTGAGACAATTAAAATCGTTATTCAATCGCCCTAACCTCTACAATAAATTGATTGGAATTAATGCTAGGTTGAACCGAGATTTGAATTGTTTTTCTGATATATACGACGGAAATATTTACAAAGAATTCGTCAGTAAATATTTTCGTAATGAATTCTCTTTAACTTTCATGTGGTACACAGATGGAGTGAGAATTTTTAAATCATCCAAATATAATATTTGGGGCTTTTGTTTAATCATTTTGGAATTACCTGTGGAAGAACGCTATAAACTAGAAAATGTTCTTTTAGTTGCACTTTGGTTTGGCGATAAAAAACCACTTCCCAATCTTTTCCTCGAACATTTACATGATTCACTTTCTCAATTAAAAGTAGGATTGGATTTTTATATAAAAGATATATCGAAAACTCTTAAGGTTCACGGAGCTATCATTTGTGGCACCGCTGATCTTCCAGCTAAGGCTTTATTTTTATCAATGAATCAGTACAATGGACAATTTGGATGTCAGACTTGTACACAGAAAGGAATTACAGTAGAGAGTACACGCGTTTATCCTTTTATTGATAATTTTTCATTACGAACCGAAAATGAGGTGTTGAGAAATGCTGTTCAAGCTGCTGAGGTCGGTGTTCCGGTATGTGGAGTGAAAGGAGAGACGATTTTATCGAAAATTGTTTATAAGTTTATAAGCTCGACAGCGGTTGACGAAATGCACTGTGTGCACGAGGGCGTTATAAAAAAGTTAATAGAATTATGGTTTGATCAAAAACATTCCGGTAAAAAATTAAGTATATCTGATTCACTAGACGCTGTTGAAAAAACATATATATGTGAGCCCGTGAATGATATAGAAAAAGAATAAAAAATAAAAACATTTCTGAGTACGAAAAATCTCAATTTATTTGATTTTTAATTAATTTATTGATGAATTATAATTCGTTGTAATGGAAAGAAAAAATATGTTGAAATTCCGTTTTTTTAAATTTGAATATTGCAATATATTGGCTATGTATGAGCAATATATTGGCCGATGTCCATTTGCATCTATAGATGCAATATATTTGCGATATATTGGCAATTGATTCGGTAATATATCGCAAATGTATATGGCCAATATATGGCCAATATATGGGCAATGTTTTTCATTTTTACGCGGGCTGTGCCTCTTGTCCCTGGTCTTCGACCCGATCTTCTCGACAACATTTTCCGTTGATGGTGTTGAGACAGCTTCTTCCTGTTGTTGATGCTGTGAAGAAATATTCATATTCTTACTCGCGGGTTGTTTCCTTCGTTTACTCAGTCGTGTAGCGTTATAAGGATTTAAATCATTTACGTGTACCTTTACAATTCGTTTCGTTGTTGCACAACGCACATCGTACACAAGCGGCGAGTAAACTTTTACAATCTCAGATGGCCCGAGGAATCTCGGTTTCAATTTCGCATTTACTGTTTTACCTTTATTTGACAATACATGATTCTTTCGCGAAACTACATCACCTAGTTTGTACGTAACTTCGCGACGATTTTTATTATAATACTTCCTTTGGCGTTTATTAGCCCGATTCAAATGTCTTTTCACCAAATCATGTAAATAAGGCAACCTTTTGGCACGCACAATCCATCTCTCTGGGTCATTAGGCAAAATATCTATCGGATTTTCAACCTCTTTTCTCAGTTGGATCGCAGGCAACTGATGTCTGCCGAAATTTAAGAATGAGGGGGTCGTACCGATTGACTCGTGTTCAGCAGTATTCAAGGCGAACTTCAATTCGTTCAAATGCAAATCCCAATTGGACTGATCATCCTCGATATAACTATTAATCATACCGCGCAAATTCCTATTCACTCGTTCAGTCGGATTACGATTCGCCGTATAGGGGGGTATTGTCGTTTGTATTATACCTAATACTGCTAAATATTGTTGAACTTCTTTATTCACAAATTCCCGTTCCATTATCGGTCAATAAATACCGTGGACAGCCCCATCGATTAACAATTAATTTATTAAACGCTTTCACGATCGTCTTACCGTTCGCTTGTCAAAATTCGGCTAACAAAATAAAGCGGATGCTCCTCTCCATTCATTTCTTGTGATAATATCCCAGCGATTGCAAAATCACTCGCGTCTGTCTGCACGCAAAATTCTTTCGTAAAGTCTGGCCGAATTAATACTGGTGCTTCTATAATCGCCTTTTTCAAGCGTTCAAAAGCTTCTTGGTGCTCAATTTGCCAAGTCCATGATACACTTTTCGTCAACAGCTCAGTCAGCGGTGCTTTCAACTAGGGGTGTGCGGATACCCGAAAAATCGGGCTACCCGACATTTTTACCCGACCCGTCGGGCTCGGGTCGGGCGCGGGCCTTTCCCGAGTTTTTCGGGCAAACCCGAGTTCATATTTGAGCCTATCTAAAACGTAAGTTCAATTTGAATGATAATTTAATATCACGTATTAATCTCCACATATAGATGTACACTTTTAAACCCGGAGGCAAAGCGAAATTCAATATAGGCTGTTTTCACAGTCGTCAGTGACGGTCACAAATCGATCAGCTGATTTCACTGGAGGCCAAACAAACCGAGTCGCCGTATAGTTTACATGTTAAATTTGTAAATTTCGAGAGCTTATATAAAGTTTGTTAGTTAAGTTAAAAAAAAAAAAATATCCTGACGTTCAGTGATATCTCAAGATTACGAGTATATATTTTTTTTCTACCGAGTGCGTGCATGTGAGCTAGAAAAAAATATTAAAAAATTTTCTAATTTTCAGCTTATACCTGTCATCTGTCGTGTGTTGGTCTGCTCTATTCGGACATCTCTGATAAATATTGGTGAATTCTCTGCTGTCAAAAAATATGGGCTTAAAATGTGCTGTTGTGGGATGTAAATCCTATGGTCAAAGAGATAAAAATGTTTCTTTCTATAGATTTCCTAAACTGAGAGATAGAAAGTATACAAATTCAAAAGATTTACAACTTCTGTCTCGTCAACGTCAAGAAGCCTGGATTAAAAGCATCAAAAGAGGACCTTTGACAGCGTCTCAATTAGAAAATTTTAGAGTTTGTCAAAATCATTTCATTTCAGGTATATTGTCTCTTCTCTTATTACTTATACTATTACTTATTACTTATACAAATTCATTCAGATTTGTTTTATTTGTTTTAATTTAGGTAAACCAGCTGACTTAAAGGATTTTAATCATCCCCGCGTAAAAATTGAATCAATGGGAGTTATATGGGCAAGGACTGGCAGGATTTTATTGTCATTACATGGGAAAGTTATTGGAAAAAACTTTTCCCATGTTTTACCCATAGTTCTGCAAATGCACATAATCCAATATTTTCCCCATTCATACTAAAAAAATTTTTATTGGATCATTTGGGCAATACTTGGGAGATATATTCAAAAAATAATTTTCCAATTTATTGCCCATATAGTTCCCATAAATTGTATTATAATATTTGTATGATAATATTTTTTTCATAGATTGCTCATATATTTATTTAAAAAAAGTATCAATTCAAAGAAATTTGTTTTTATTATTTCATATAGTTCTTGAAAAATAACTATTCAAATGTAATGAATGAACTCAAACAACTGAAATTGAACATAAATATAAATTGAAAATCAAAAATTCAATCATTGATGCGGATTTCTTAATGTGCCGATCATCAGG